GAGTGATTGCACATAAAATGAGATCAATGGGTATAACTGGTAAAGTAGGATGCTGGATACTCCATTTCCTGTTGAACAGAACACAAAGAGTAACAGTCAATCAAGTAAAATCGAGTCCGAGTGCAGTTAAAAGCTCTGTCCCTCAAGGTACAGTCCTTGCACCACTGCTGTTCCTTATTCTCATATCAGATATAGACAAAACCACAAGTCCACAGCTTCATGTCATCCTTTGCAGATGATACAAAAATCAGCATGAAAATGACCTCTGTTTTCGAATTTAATCCATTCCAGAGACGGTTCGAAAACCGAAAATTCTAAAACCGAAACAACTTTTCTCATAAGAAATAATGTAAATTGAATTAATCCGTTCCACACCCCTAAAAATATTAACTTAAAAATACTTTTATAGATACTACTACTTACATTTTGTACTACAGTAAGTACAAGTATATCATACCTTTATTGATGACTCTTGTTGGCATTTGGAAGACAGTGAGGAAAGGGGGAGGAAGAGAGGTGTTAGTGTTTGGAAGGGGAGTCCCCTTCCATTATAATAGCAGTGATGACATTTCTGGGGTACTCTCTCTCTCTCTCACCTTTTGCCTGCATACCACTAGCACCTGGTTGTGGCTCACTGCTTGCTTGTCTTGCTAAGAATCTGTCTATAGACACTTGTTTTAACACTTGTTTGTAGAGACATCACATTGTCTCACTATGAATGTTCTCTTTTTTTCCTCTATCGTCCTCCTCACAACTATTTTCCTATATTGAACTTTACCACTGACTTTCTTGGGACCCATGGCATAATATATAATAAGAACTTTTATGTTCAGAAACCAAAAAAAGCACAAAAACAATTAAATTCTTCACAAAGAATTCAAATGCGGTCGTCACTAGACGGGAGACAATGGTAAACTGAAGTGCGCCATGTGCACGGTCGGCCCACATGTGTATTAACAAATTCGAGTACCGAGTCATATTTTTCGAAGAAATTGAGCGCGAGAACTGAAAAATTAGAAAACAGGGGCATTCGAAAACCGAGGTTTCTCGGTTTGATAACAAATTATCGGGAAGCAAATTATTAACAAAGCGTGCAAAAACATAAAATAAATAGAAAGCAAAATAACAAAGGTGTGAGGGGGTAAAACACTTACTACTAAAGGAGAAATAGGCTAACAAAGTAAAAACAGTAATGGAAAATAACAAAAGGATGCATAAAAGGTGAGAAGGATGACAGGCAGACTATAACAATATGGAGTCAGTAATTGTAGCAATACGACAGCAGTTTATTTACATTAATAACAATGGAAATACAAGGTGTAGTTTAGAAATGCAACTGGACTCTTTCTCATAACATTCAGTATGGAACATAAGAAAACAGAGAAATAAAGTAATTTAAGGTCAATGGACCCACCACTAAAAATGAACCAACACTAGGTTATGCCAGAAGTAATATTTAGGTGATGCTTCCCTTCACCTAATGCCTCTGTTCACCTAGTAACAAACAGGTAATAAGGCAGGTGTTGTGGGAAGCACTGAGGCTGGTCAGTCGCTCGTGTAGAGGACCTCAATAAGCCTTATATAGGTGTCCTGGCTCAAGAGTTTTTGTGCATTACTAGTGGCTTTAAACGTATAATATATACTAGCTAGCCAGAAATCTAACATTATGTTTGTAAATCATTTTGAATGTACGTTTACCTAAATAAACTATTTTTATTATTATTAAAGTGTCTTCCATATTCCCTGTGAAGTTTAGAAAATATGCGTCTTTTTCAATATCCTCAAGTATAAATACCAGGAATTAAAACGAAAAATGCATATACTCAAAAACTAGAATGAGGTAATATATTGGCCATAAAATACATGTGAAGTATGATCCAATACATTAGCAATATATGAGCCAAGGCGACCCGTCCGCCGCCCGCCAGCTGCTGCAGTTTGTAAACAATACTGCGAGAGTCCTGGAGGCGGGGGGCACACCTTCACAAACACACTCACCTTCTGGCCTTATTAACTACACATTGAACAAGTATACTATTACATTACGTTTCATGGTTTAGTTTATATATATTTCATGACGGAACTTTATTTATTCATCCAATTGCTATCGATAAATAATTAAAGATATACAGTCTCCTAGGGTTCAGATTTTATTTTAGGTTTAACACTTCATTATATATATGTTAATATTCTTAATCACTTTAAAATATTATTGAGTGTATTTTATTAATGCATTTAAATTATATGAATCGAGACATGATAGATTCTTTTATATGTAAAGATTATAGGTCTGTATTGGCGGTACTTTTCAAACTGCAGAAAAAAACTCCATTTTTCACTCTGGCCAAATTTCCTTATAAAAATGACTACACTTAAAACTTCAAATATGTCCAATCACATTCAATTACGCTCAAAAATTGCACTTAACCATAATATTTTATGCTTGAGTGCATAAAGGGGACATTTAGGGTCCCAGTAGTACAGTCGGGTTCCTTCTCGACGCACAATTCAAAATTCCAGGTTCGAATTCCGGGCGGGACAGAAATGGTTGGGCACATTTCATTTTACCTAATGTCTTTGTTCACCTAGCAGTGAGTAGGTACTCAGGACTTGGTCAGCCTGTTGTTCAAGTTCAAGTATGTTTATTGAGATAAGCAATAAATACATCTCAAAGGGATAGAGTAGCTTAAGGCTATTTCTACCCCCCTCTACTTCAAGTCCCTCAAGGGGCGCAATAATGCAGTGAGTACAAATAGACAAATAACATTACAAGAATCCCATTTAACATTGCAGGTTAATATAGTAAGTACAGCATATAATTGTTACACTCTTGGGGCAAAATTCTTGTAGCTCCTAATTAAGTATACTGTCTATCATACCATTATCACACATCCAAACAATTTGATGTGGTACACTATTTATTTCCTTATTTCTATAGTTTTCAATAAGTTGACACTCTAATACATAATGTTCTAAGGTGTGGGCGTGCGGCATACTACATAATTTACACTCCTTATCTTTTTCTGGCCCCACTGACATCAGACCCCCTTATTCTGGCCCCAGACCCCCTTATTGCCAGACATCACTCGGTACCCCTACTCAAATCCCTGAATATATTCTCTCATGTGTATAAACTGTAATGCCAATCCTGATCTCAAAAGCTTCATAGAAGGTTGTAACAGAACCCATGAGCACCACACCAGAAATAAATCTTAATCAAACTAGAAATCTCATGTAATGACCTTCCCAACCATGTTAATCCTTCTCAACCAGTAGACTTACCTAATAAATTCCTTAACCTACCATAAGTGAAGGTTTTACGAATAATTTGTAATTGTATTACTGAATTTTTAACTCAACGCATTTTTTTCTTACCCATTAGTGCTTTAGTTACTGCCCGAAACGCTTTGCGTAATAGTGGCTTTAGGCATTGTATGTACTAGCTCTTATCTATAAAGCCAACAAACTTTGTAAAATCTCTTTATGTATGTACCTTTGCCTAAATAAAAATTTTATTATTATTATTATTACTTCACTGACATCAACACCGTATTGCCAGATATATTTGTATCCTAATCTTAATCTCATGTATCCTTCCATAGACTTTCCTTTACCATAAGTGAAGGACGAATTCTAATTCTTAAGTTTTTATGTCCGCCATTGCCATTCTCTTTATCATTTCTTCACCCTCTTGGATCATCTTGAATTTGTTTCAAGGTTAACTGACATACAACATCAACAAGAGTTTTTTCAGTGGCTCTCTTCGCTATGTCATCAACTACCTCATTCAACAGTATTCCCACATGTGAAGGGATCCACATGAATCTTACTTTATACTCAGTTTTTTCTAGTCTCTTAACATTCTCTCTACACTCTATCACAATATTCTGATATACTGGGCGTCTGCTATTTAAAGACTCTATCGCTCCTCTGCTGTCAATAAAGAAGCAGGCATTTTTACCACATTTGACTACTTCCTGTAATCCTGCTAATACACCTTGGAGTTCAGCCTGCGTTGAAGAGACATTGTTAGTTAAGCGGCGTCCAATAACAGTATCTAGAGTGCCGATGTCAGTGTACTCCCTGATCAAGACTCCACATCCTGCCTTCCCATCCCTAGCTACTGACCCATCACAATATACATGTAGAGTGTTTTCTGTAGGCAGTTTCCTAATTATACAATCATATGTTGCCCTCAGCTCTCCTATTTCATACATACTTTTTTTCTTATGCAAGGGAGTAATTACTACCTCTACATTACAATCCTCCCATGGTGGTGTAAATTTTCTCTTGGGCACAGCAATACACTCTGTAATAACATCATAATTAATAACATTAGAACATAAGTTATTCATATATACTCTCTTCTTCATCATACACTGTTCACTACTTCCCACCTTTTGAACCGAGAGGATTAATTCATTAACTCCCCCACCTCTCATTAATCTAATGGCAGAGGCTACATTTATCTCTGAAATTCTATCCCCAATACTCTGCAGATTCAACTCCATCCTCATTATCTCAATCACAGCATTTCTTGGACATCCTAAGATAATTCTCATGGCTTCATTTTGTACCTTCTCCAACTTGCCCATCCTACCTTTACCAAAACAAGAAATGACAGGTGCAGCATAATCAATAAGAGATCTTACAGTACTCAAGTATATCATTCGTAGCACAGGAACTCCCACTCCCTTTCCACAGCATGCCAAGGCCTTCAGAGGTTGTAATCTGGACCATTCTCAAGTCGAATACACAATCGACTTGAGAATGGTCCAGGACGGACCGAAACGTCGTCGTCCCTTCACCTTCTAGTGTGTGGTCTGGTCAACATATTTCAGCCACGTTACTGTGACTCCTCGTCTGCATTAATGTCAGTGATAGAAGGGAATAAAGTCACACAGAAAATGATGGTTTGTTTGCAGCGTTAACTATACAAATTCACACCTTATGGTCTTAATATTCACAGGTAACTTTGCCTTCATATTTAAACAACTCTCTTGAGATATACCAATGGTTTTATTAACGTAAAACATATTATAGTTTTTGCATATTACAAATGGCACTAGAGTACCTTGGTAAAAAGTGTTGTTGATACTATAATGAGTTTGTTTGGTGCATAGAAAGTTGGCTGACTCCTGCTGTGATGGGACCACCAGGAGGGCAAGACCACCACACGAAGGTCACGTCTTCAACTCTCTCATGGAAAAACTGTCAAACCAGCAGTCAAGGCCATAATAATGGTAGTGTCAAGTGGTCATGGTGACACTATGACCACTTGACACTACTTTGTTGTGGTTGTCAAGTGTCATTAAGGCGGTCAAGGCCTGAGGAGTGGGAGCGGCAGTGGTGTGTTCAGAGGCGACAACTTGGCGCCAGGGGCGAGGACGCTGAGGGCCTGGGAGACCAACGGAGCCTTGTGGGCATTAACGATACACGCGGCCTCCAGGCACGACATGAAGCCCTCAGTGTGGAAGTCCACGGGCTCTGGACACGTCCCCACGGCGGCGGCCACGGCGTCCCCCAGGGCCTGGGAGGACACGACCTCCCTCACGGCGGCGGCCACGGCGCTCCGGTTGACAGTCAGCGTCTCCGCATCCAGCTGTCAAGATCAGTGTAGTTAATACCTCCACCCACACACATGGCGGCTGTGACAGTGTACACAGGGGGGGGGGGGAGGATACTGACCAGGCTGGTAGCGTTGAGGACACACAGACGGACCACAGTAGTGACCTCAGGGTCCGGAGACAACAGGTCAACCAGGGAGTCTTGGCTGCCCTCCACACGACCTGCAACAGGACCACA